CTTTGTGGCTGTTGTTATCATGATCGTTGTTTTTAAGTCACTTTTCATTCACTATTCATTCAGTCTGGTTATCAATAGAATATTAACAACCAGACTGATTGAATGCTGTATGATGTGCCTAGCTATAGGGACTGGTAACGAACGAAGATCTCACTGCTGAGGCCTGGGTACCTCCTCTATAAACAGACGGCTGGTAGACTGCCATCCGGTATAGGCATCACCTGAGGCACTACTTGCACAGTTCCCCACATTGAAGCCCACACGAACAGGTCCCTTGTGGATCTTGTCACAGTGACCCTCAATATGGCGGACACGGTGAAGATCTTCGGTGCCTTTTCCTTTTCTCAAGTACACGATGCCGTCGATAGCACGTGGGACTTGACATTCAGCACCGTTGAACGTGAAGAACCAGCGCTTACAACAAACGTTGCAGTCATAAACCCTTAAGTTCCCGTTCCAGAAAACACGAAGGAAAGAGTCGCTGTAGTTCTTGTGAAAAACACAATCCTGCAGGAAAAACATTTATTAGTATAACACTCAGGATAGCAGGCCTGTAATCGGTGACTATTACTAAAGCAGAACTGAATCACTACGATCTTTTTTTTTTTTTTTGTTTCGTTTTTTCTTCAAACTAACCTAACCAACCATACCGAACCAAACCGAAAGTGAAAAATTTTATATGGATAAGAACGTTCAATGAAATCCAAAATAGTCATTTTACCAGTTACAGTTACCGCTGTAATATTTGACAACAGACGCGCTTGCACAGATACCAAATGGCTATGCATATAAAATATTATTTTCTGAATTTCAGTAAAAAAAGTGTCACTTACGTTGATATTAAACAATAAAAACTCAATACTGAATTGATGTTGATTCGATAGCAAAAAACCGTTATCGCTATTCTCAACAGCAAGTACAGCCTAGTTGAGCTACCCAGTATGGGGTCAAACTAAAAAACAAAGATAAGGCCTTTCTGACAGCCGCTATATACAGTCCATGTATATGATCTCGAAGCACAGCTCCAATCAGTTTCTATTTGTTAGGGACGGTTTTAGAGGAGAGGGAATAAACGGAGAGCTGGAAAAACTTTTGGAGTTGGAAAGAAAACCAACCAGGATGGACACTAGAGAAAAATGTTTGCGCATGCGTGCATTTCAGCACGTTTTCTAAGAATTTTGAAGATTTTGAGTGAGAAAATAAATGTTTGTCTTCTCAAAGTATACAAAACAGTTCGAGAGTATACTTTTGTCAGACCAAGATACTGTATTAACAAACACAATGTGAAAGAATTAGCCTTAAGTTTCAAGCATGGACACTAAGTTTTGGAATTTTGTGAAGTCCAATTTATCAGGCATGTTTGAAAGTCAAATTTACTTATGTTTTGACTAATTTGCATACGGATTCAGAGCATGCGCAGACGTTTTTCACTCGCGTCACCAGGATGTATACAACTTGAAATTGAAGTCCTTGGTGTCATTCAAAGGAGGATGTTTACCTAGCATGCTTTGCGCGCCTCGACCAACTATATTATCACACTGAAAAGTCACGTGAACTACTCATTTTCGCTTTGCTGTCAATGTAGAAACATCGGCTATGGATAATACTATTGAGATTATAGAGGGAAATCGTGAGTCCTTTTCTATTTTAGATCTTCTCTTTGTCTACGGTATTGTCCACAAAAAGAATCAATTAGACAGAATGCAAGTTGCTGGTTTTGCCTGTTGTAAACTTGTGACAGTTATCAGCCATCTTCCCAGGCACTTTTGAAGAAAGAAGACTTGCAATGCCGGTTTTTGAACAACGACAACCTCGATTGAAACGCTTTTTTTCAATTTGAATTTTAAATAAAATTTCCCTATCTGTACTGTGGAGTACAATAGGTTTGGTTTTCTTGAGTTGAATAAAATTAGTTTCCAGTGGATCGTCCATTCATTCGCTTACAGTTTGTTAGATTAAGGATTTTTTTGAATTGTCTGTCGGGTTTGTTACACGTTCTGTGAATAGAAAATAAAAGTAAACTTAGCGGGACTAACTCTATTTCCTCTTTATAAAACTGCCTTCACATGACTTAAATAAAAATAGATATATAAACTTTTGCCTTGTTGCTGTTATCATATGAAGTATACGTTTGAATTTTAAAATAAAGATTATCAGAATTGTATAAGATACTCAAAAACACATCAAGGACGTAAGACAAGACGAAGTGAAACACATGGCGAATTTTAGTGGAAATTGTAATGGCCGTATCTCACTTATGAGAGATTTAAGGGATTTAGTATAGTATGAAGACTATACTTATTGTAGGTGCGTCCTTTTTTTAAATTTTTTCTTCGTCTAATATCAAGTCCCAGAGAAATGGCCAGACTTTCTATTGCTTATTAGTATGGATGCAGAAAATCTTTAATAAGCGAACGGCTGTTGCTTTTGTTTGGCGAAGAAAACAAACAAACAAACAAACGCTAAAGACAGATGGTTAATGAGTACGGCGCGCAAAGCATGCTAGTGAAACATCCTCCTTTTTGTCAGCCCTAAGCGTAACACAGGCATGGAGGAGAGGATGACAAGTTGAAACTGGAGAAATATACCTACCCTGATCAGACCATTGTCTTTATCATCGTTGATGTTGATCCACGAACATTCTTTCCAGTTCGAATAGGCTGAGAGTCCTCTCGCGCCAGGCTCCCCCTTTTCTCCTTTTGGGCCAGCGTCACCCTTTGGACCCTGAGGACCAGTGTTACCGGCTGTACCAGGAGCTCCGGGAGGTCCTTGCTTGCCTGGAGTCCCGTGAAACCCTCGAGGACCTTGTTTACCTTGAGTACCTGGTCTGCCATCTCGTCCGTCTCGTCCAGGAGCACCGGGTGTACCGTGGAGTCCAGGGATACCAGGACGACCCGCCAGACATGAAAAATCTGTTCCTGGCTGAAAACAATTAACAATTAAGTCATGAAATAGTTTATGTTTTTGAATTTAAGTTTGTAAAGTCCATAAAAATCGAAGACCGAGAAGACCGAAATAAACCATGATGAAGGAATAGTATTAATTCGAGTTTACTTACATGCCTGGTAGGCGGCTTATTTTGCTGTCCACAGGCCGGCTTGATGGCAGGAAAAACAAACACAGCCAAGGACACGAACACGAATAACCTCATCTTTACGTAATGCAAAATAAAAGAAAGGTTAAACAGATCAACTGTTTAGTTTAGTAAACTTCTTTTAATGAGGGACGGACACGGCGCGGGTGGCGTTGCAGTGAGAATGCTCGCCTCTTTCTCGGGTTTTTGGTCCCCGCCGGGTTTGGTTTCGTACGTGAGTAAAGTTTTTAGAGCTTATTCGTTTTCTCCTATGCTTCGAGGGTTTTTCTCCGAGTTAATTTTCCTCTCTCCGCAAATATGTACCTCTAAATTCCAGTTGGAGTCAGTGGATGATAAGCCACTTTGTGGAAATTGTTCAAAAACAACAATTTCTTTGTGTCAGGTGGGTAATTCAGAGTTAAACAGTTTTTTCCGTAGCGACGTCTTCATGCTAATTTTTTGTGTTTTCAGGTATTGATAAAGGTAGCTTGCAAGTTGTCTCATGATTACCTTAGTTGAACAGCTTCAAGATACACAATTTTAAAAAGTTTAGTTTTTAGTATCAGTGCTCACCTTAATGAACTGTTGTAGGGTGACCTTGCTCAGAGAAGCCTCAGAAGACAATCAGAACGAAGTAGCAACATCCAGTAATAAAAAGCCCACAAAGATGAATCAAATACTCGTTTTTACTCGTTGGAACATGTTCCGAATAACAGGTGTGCGTGCAACTTAAAGAAAAATAAATAAATAACAATTATTCTTGATGGTTTTTTACTCACATGAGTAAACAACCGCGCCCATTGGTCAATATATTTGAAATAAAAGGTGCACTTGGACGAAAATCCGTCAACATCGGAAACTAATTGTTCCTAGTTTAAGTAATTTAACGATGAATATAGATGACTTTCAAGAACTACTCAACTAAAAATTCAATATTTTAAGCATTATCACCAAGAAATGTTGGTTTAAAAGCTAAAAAAACAATAGGGTCGAGCTGTCATTTATATAATTTAGAAGCTACGATAATTGATAATTTTCATCTCCCACTTTTGACTGTGAAGAAAATATGTTGCTTGGCGACTGTTGGGGCCATATAGATAAGTTAAACCAAATTTCAAGTCATTTCCAATTTTCTTTCAAGTGCCCCTTTTAACTACGCCGAAAATATATACCATACCAATTAGATATATTGTCAAGTTCGAAGTTTTGAACCTGGAACGGAAGATCTACACGCAGGTTTTTACACTTAAATTGTTTTTGATTTTTTATCCTTTAACTCACTTTGCGTTAAAGGCTAAAATATTTTCCTATTTATTTATTTTTTCCGCAAACGACAAATGTGACCAAGTTCTCATCGTTTTTCCTGTATTTTACTTTACTTTTTGAAAACTTTTTTATCGCACACAAATATCCTTTTGTTCTTCTACTACTCAGTGTTTTTTTTTTGTTTTTTTTT